CTGTAATCCTAGCACTCTGGGAGGCTGAGGTGGGAGGATCGCTTGAGCTCAGGAGTTTGAGACCAGCCTGAGCAAGAGGGAGACCCTGTCTCTACCAAAAAATAGAAAGAAATGATCTGGACAACTAAAAATACATATATATATAAAATTAGCCGGGCATGGTGGCACATTCCTATAGTCCCAGCTACTCGGGAGGCTGAGGCAGGAGGATCGCTTGAGCCCAGGAGTTTGAGATTGCAGTGAGCCATGATCATGCCACCACACTCCAGCCTGGCAAGAGAGTGAGACCCCATGCTAAAAAAAGAAGGAAAGGAAAGGAACAAAAGAGAAGTAAAGGATGTGTGTGTGGGGGTTAGCCTGACCTTGGGGATCAGACTGTCCTGTGGGTACAGTGTGTTCCAAGAGGGTTAGTGTGTCCTTATCAGGTCAGCGTGTCCTGAGAAGTTGAAGTGAAGTGTTCCAGGTACCAGAGTATCCCTAGGTTTCAGGGTGTCCTGGAGGATCCTAAGGTCCTGGGCTGTCAGGTTGTCCTTAAAGGGTCAGGGTGTCCTGGGGATGTGAGAATGTACTTCTTGGGTCTAGGGAACCTCAAGAGGCACAGTACTATGGGCTCAGGTTGTTCTTGAAGAATTAGCATGTTGGGATGTCATGTGGATCACAGTCTCTTTCAGAGTCCTGAAGCCTGGGGTGGGTGGGGAGTCAGGACGCCCCTGGCATTCAGATGCACTTGCTGGTCAGGGTTTCCTGAAGGTCTAAGTGGAAGATCATGGTGTCCTGGGGGTTCTGGGTGAAAGAAGAGGTGATGTTTTTGAGGGAGGAAATCAGAGAGTACTGGAGAATCATTCTACAATTGGGTTCAGGTTGTCCTGAGGGGTGGCTGGTATATTCTGAGATATCAGGATGTCTGGGAAGGAACAGCATGTACTTCTGACTTTTTGGTTTTTGGTTTTTGGTTTTCTGGGTGTCATCCCATGCTGAGATGCCACGCAGGTCCTGCTCCTGGCCTCCCCCCTCGGCCCCCTCTTCGTTCCCCTCCCCGCAGTGGGGTTCTAAGGAGGGGTCTTGGAAGGAATGCATTTTCTCCTCCTTCCCCTGCTGGCTCCCAGGAGGGGATTTAAGAGGACAAAAGAACCAGGTCCTCTGGGAATACGAGCTCTTGGCCCTGGTCCCTGGACCCTCCGACAGAACACCTTCCCTCATCCGGCTTGTGATCCTCCCCTGAGCAAGGGGGCTCTGGTGATCGGGTAATGATTGGAGGGGCCCTCGGGGGTGAGGAGGAGGTCACTCCTCCAAGACTCGGGGAGAGAGGGGTGGTGTGGGAAAGTAGGCAGCCGACAGGGAGAGACAGCAGCGTCCTGGTGGAGAGAAGGGGCGGAGAAGAGTAGAGACAGAAACAGAAACAGGTGAGGTCCAGACAGGATGAGATGATACTCACACGAAGGAATGGGGAATTAGGAGACAAGTAGAAAAAAGGAGAGACAGTGAAAAAGACAAGGATATCTATCTATACCTACACACACGCACATCAGAGGCAGAGACTCGGGTGCAGACAAAGGTGAGATAACAGGCGTAGAGGGGAACAACAGAAGCAGAGAGAGACTGACCTAGCATCGGAGTCAGGGACACAGGGCACTGGACGTCTTCGGTGCCTGTTGCCAGCCATGGAAGCAGAAGGGAGGAGTCAGCAGGGTGAGCCAAAGCAGGGGCGAGTTTGCAGCAGCCTCTTGTCTGAGAGCCGCCCCGCCGCTGGGACTCTGCCCTCCGTGATGGGTGAGTGTATCTCTGGGACGCAATCGGGTCCGGAGGAGGCAGGGGGGTGTGCGGCTCAGTGCCCAGGCTCCGGGGCAATGCTTTGCCATGAGGAGGGTCAGAAGTTAAAATCAGAATCCTAGCATGCGGGAACTGCGGGAACCTCACGAAGTGCGGGGCAGTAGGACTCCTTGGCTTTGCAGAGGGAGGAGCTGAGCCCCTGGCCTGAGTGAGCTGCTGAGTGGCTCCCACCATGGCAGGGCCAGAGGCACAGCTGGTGTCTGTCCCCTCGCCCCTGACCACAGAGCTCCTCAGCCCAGGGCACTGCCTTCTCTGAGGGAGGGAGCTAGGGGCCCAAGGCTTTGGGTCCAGAAGAGCTGGCTCAGTGTAGATGTCCCCACGGTGGACCATGAGCCCCTTGGGTCCCCATGGGGATGCTGCCTCAGCCCCAGATGTCTCCTTTCTCAGTGTGTGCCTTCCAGGTGTTTCCTTTGCCTCCCCGCTCTCTCCCTCCATAGGCTCTCAGACTAATTAGTGTGGGGGCTTAGCGAGCCTGCGGGGAGGGGAGGGGAGACAAGCCTTTCCCACGAGCTCAGGTTCCCGCAGCCTGGTGGCCAGGCCAGGCAGGGTTAGGGGAGAAAACGGGAAGCAAGTGAGGGGAGGGTGTGTCTGAGCAGAAGAGGAGGAATGTTTCATCCTCCCAGGTGAGGGCTGCAGGAGGATGGGAGCTGCATAGAGAAGGCACAAGTTGAAGGTGAACCTTAACAGAGAGGACACGAAATGGGGCTCTTCCCTGCTTGTTCCGGTGTAGCCCCAGGGTGAGCCCCAGGTGGTCGTGCTGAGAGAGCCGAAAGGCGCCTGGAGGGGCGCGTGTCTGGAGTGGGCACACAGTGGGGCTGCCGGGCGGACAGTGCACGAGTGCCCGGACAGGGACGAGTCTGAGGGTGTGCCCGTGGAGAGCACCGCCTGGCGCTGGCGGCGCAGAGGTGGCGCAGGGGTGGAGGCCGAGCCGGTGCAGAAACAAGGGTTGCGAGGGCTCGAGGGTTTCCGGTGGGGGCAGCAGGGGACCAGCACCTGGCTTGGACAAGTCCTGGCAGCGACTTGGACTTCTCCCTTCCCTCCCTCCTCAGACACTAGTGCTGAGCCCTGCAGGAGGCTCTCTGGTGGCGGAGTGGGGAGGCCAAGGATCCCTACGCAAGGAGCTCAGAGGGGCCGCCCGCACTCTCGGCGCCACCGCACCACCTTCAGCCCAGTGCAGCTGGAACAGCTGGAGTCAGCCTTTGGGAGGAACCAGTACCCTGACATCTGGGCCCGGGAGGGTCTTGCCCAGGACACAGGCCTCAGCGAGGCCAGAATCCAGGTGATGCCCCAGTATCCCTCCTCCCTCGCAAAGAAATGCAGATTTCTTCGGCGCTGGTGTTTTGGTGCTTACATAAACTGTCACGTAATGCCAGGCATTATAACCCCGACCTAAATGTTCGCCAGAACATAGGCCTCATCTAACCTCAACATAACCTCATCTGCATCACGAATATCATTTGAGTTTAACCCAAGCTCTAACTTGAATTTCAGCACCTACCCCAACCTTTAATAGTGATGTGAATTCCGGCAGAAATTCAGTGCTAACTGTTCACATGCATACCTAACCTTGTCCCTAACCATAGCCTTGAAACTCAACTAGCCCGCTGACCCTTGTCCTAACCACAGAGTTATCATAGCCTTGAGTAAAAACCCTCCTCTAAATCCAAGCTTCTCTACAACAATTAAACTTATCCATAGTGTTAATTTCTAAAACTAACCCTAGGGGAAATTTCCCATTCTCTGGGGAGGGAAAAATGTCATCGTTATCATATTTATGTGTTTCTTTTTGGAAGTTGACATTCCTTGCTCACTCAATGCTGCAGAAATTGGGCAAATGTAGCCGTGGGTTGGGAGTAAGGGTGTGGGTTTCACTGTGTCAGTAGATGGGGCTCAGCCGTGCCATCCGGAAGAGCTTTACTTCCTCCGGCATTGTGGGAGAGGCTTATCCCTGTACCTGTATCTCCAGTCATTGGAGGAGGGGGTTGCCACCTCTTTGAGACATAGGTCTGATGTGGCTATTCTTCCTCCTCCCCAGGTCTGGTTCCAGAATCGCAGAGCTAAGCAACGGAAGCACGAGCGGTCATTGCTCCAGCCACTGGCCCATCTGTCTCCTGCCACCTTTTCTGGTTTCTTACCTGAATCCCCTGCTTGCCCGTACTCCTATACAACACCACCTCCACCAGGGACCTACTTCCCTCACCCCTACAACCATGCCCTTCCCTCCCAGCCGCCCACAGGTGGCTCTTTTGCTCTTCCGCACCAGCCTGAGGACTGGTACCCCACCTTGCACCCCACCCCCACTGGTCACTTGTCCTGTCCCCCACCCCGATCCATGCTTCCCCTCAGCCTTGAGCCACCAAAGTCCTGGAACTAAGGTCAAACAAGTGCTAATAAGGTGATCCCCAGCCTGCGGTCCTCGTAAAACACTAAGAAAATTGGGTGGCTTCCTTTCCTTCTAAGTGTGTAGCCGAAATATGGTGCAGGGCAGCTCAGTGATTGGATATTAAAAAATGCAAGACAGGCTGGGTGCGGTGGCTCACGCCTGTAATCCTAGCACTCTGGGAGGCTGAGGTGGGAGGATCGCTTGAGCTCAGGAGTTTGAGACCAGCCTGAGCAAGAGGGAGACCCTGTCTCTACTAAAATTAGAAAAAATTAGCTGGGCAACTAAAAATAGAAAAAATTAGCCAGGTGTGGTGGCACGTACCTGTAGTCCCAGCTA